CTATTTATGCATGAACTGTAGTTTTTGGAAATCTGACCAAAGTTATGAAGATATATTATAATTATTTTTTTTTTTTTTCTGTTCCTGAAGCTGAATTACAGATTGCTGAAGCCGTTGCTCTTGTAGATTCCCTTCAGAACTGGACAGTTTTAGATAAAATAATTATTCCTACAAAAAATCCTGACAAGAAGTTTATTTTTGGCAAAGGAAACTTTCAGGTTTTGACAGGTAAGGACTGAGATTTTTCAGCACTGTGTCATTCTAAATGGAAGACTTCTGCAACTGAACCGTTTAAGAATAGGTATGAAAGCTGAAGAGAGGGATAATTTTGTTTATCCACCATGCAGGTTTGCAAACAAGCTTCAAAGAATTTTTTTAAGGTTACAAAAGCAACAGAATAGAAATAACTCGTGCTTACTGAAAATTGTGAGGCAACTTAATCCCTACATTTATGTGCTTGACATAAGTGAAACTGGCAGCTGTTCTTGACATAGTGCTAAAATAGTGTAATTACAACTGTTCTGTGGACAAATAATATGGTGCCATTTGATATTTTATGAGCATTCAGCTCAGTGCAAAATGGTTTTATATTCTGTATATTTTAAAAAGAGAATTGACATTTAACACTGTATTTTGCAACGGTTATCCATCTTTTAGAAAAGATTAAAAAATTGCCCCATGTGACAGCTGTCTTCTTGAATGTGGAAAGAATATCTTCACTAACAAAGGTAATTAAATATAATATCGAATAATATTCTTTACATCCGTATTGTTCGGAAGCTATTGATGTTATGAGAAGTAGAGTCAGTTATGACTCTGAATTGGCAGATGGTAATATATGAAGCCACCTGGGCTGAGTTTTGCTGAAAGGAAACTTAATTCCTATTACTTTTGTCCAGCTCTTGTGCATGAAGTTTTCCAGCACCGTAACAGCCATTATCTCCCGCATTTGCCACTGGCCCCACTTAAAGTGTTGGCAAAGTTACACAAGGTCTTTTTCACAAAATGGAGGTGATAACACAGCTTTTGTTATGAAAAATGACAACATTTTGGATTAGCTATGTGTACAAGTTTCTATACCTATATGGATAGTGTATTTATTTTCCCATAGTTCTGTGGATGCTGTATTGTATTTTGAATATGAGGTGTAAATTCATAGCAGGCTTATATTTGAATGTTTCAAATATTTAAACTTTCATTCCTGACCTTTAAAAAGAAACATATTTTAATGGATTACATTGAGGGAGGGAGCAAACTTCGCTTTTTTTTCTTTTAGCACTGTCAGTGGAACAACTGGTGCATGAGCTATAGACGCTCTTTGAAATGCTTAAACAAACTGAAGTACTTTTTAGGGTTTTTGCATGTACAGCATCATGCAGCATGTAAAGTGCATGCAAACTGTGCAAGCAAACATTAATGCTTTCCCTGATTATAAAATGGACAGAGATATTAAATATCTCTAATAGATAGTTATCTTGAGCCCTTCAATTTATTGGTGAAATGGAAGTTGAAAATGTTTCCGTTCAATTTCCTAGTTTTTATTCCCTAATTTATAGTATGAGTTCTTTTAGTACTAGATTTGCTAATATTTTTTTTTTTTCCCCGCAAATCTAGATCTTAAGAGCAATTTAGCAGGGTTCATTCAAGAACATGTATAAAACACAAGCATTCTGGATTTTAGAGATGGCAGATGGGAACTACAGCATATTTTAAGTGTCTTTTGCTGAATTGAAGCAGGAGTGGGGTTTTTTGCTTGGTTGGTTGGTGGTTGGTTGGGGGTTTTTTTAAGTATTTCATGCAAAACTGATTATGAAATAATTTTCCTGCCTTCTTCTCTTTCTAATTTTTTTTTTGTTAATACTTTTTCTGTTCCTATGTTATCTCTATCCTTTCATAATTACTTTTTAGAAGGACTTAACCACTGAGATTCTTGATTCTGAGATATGCTGTAAGAGCTGTATGTCAGAATCAAGCAATGGAAGGATTCTCACCGAATGTACTAGGCCTAGACATAAAGCTCTACCTTCTAAACTCTCTTTATCACCTGTCTTCATGGTCAACCAAATTTTGCCTTTGCGTGCTCATAATCATAGCCTGTCCATTGAAATGGAACCCTGAGGTCCTCTGAGTTCAAGTGTCTATCAGCTAACTGTAACTGTAGTGCTGTGTAGGAATTGATCTGCTGATATGGTGGGCAACAGGAAACATCTAGGTTATTTTGTCTTACATGCCTAAAGAAAGAACTAGAAGATGCCTGGGGCGTGAAAGTTTTTGACAGATACACAGTTGTACTTCACATTTTTCGTTCTAATGCCCGGACCAAAGAAGCAAAACTTCAGATAGCGTTGGCCGAAATTCCACTTCTCAGGTACCTTGAGCTGTGCAAATCACATACTGATATTTACATATTTTAGTGGCTGTTTCTTTAGAGTGACAAAAATGATAATACTGTACTGTAAAGAAAAATGACACTGTTTCAGTGCTTGCATAGTATGCTCAATGATTGATAAGAGCATAGATATATTTGCTATAATGTCATTGTTTTAAGTTTCTGCAGTGCTGACAGGCAAAACCAGAAAGTGTTCAGTAGATAAACTTCCCAAATACATTTCTTACGAAAAGGTCTTGGTTCTTTCTAATGTGGAAGATGGATTGCAAGAATATTAGGAACTGGGTATGTGTATCCCATATATAATATTGATGGGTTTAATAAGGAAAGCTATAAACAAGGAAGATTAAAGACATTGATTTGTATCTGAATTTTCCACATTTCTACATTACATGGCATAGAAATGTTTGTACACGGCAGTTGGTGTGAGTTGCATGGGTGTATCAGAGGCATCCTTGGTGCTCTGAAATTTCAGAATAGCCATTATCATTTGCTAAGAGAGTTGCATGCTTTTTGAAACCACAGTTGACGAGCCAGGAAAATCTGTAATTTTTTCACCAGGCTTCTCATCATGAGCAGGTTTTATTTAGAGCCTTGTCATTCAGGGTTTTTATTTGTACTATTAGAATATCTCTACGGCTTCACATTTGTTAGGCATTTTAGGATAGCTTGATTAAAGAAAATTGCTTCTAATTAACTGTTACTCCACCGCCAGGTCAAATTTGAAAAATGAGGTGTCTCGGCTAGATCAGCAGAGAGGTGGATCGAGATACATCATGGGCTCAGGTAAAGTCTAACCGTTCTCATGAATGAGAGGATTTTTTTTCTCCATAGCCTTTAAATTAATTTAATTCTATCTTATTTTATTGGGAGGAGGCTAGGAGAAAAAACTGTTTGTGTTCTGCATCTAATTAAATGAACGTATAAAAATTTATTGGAAAGTAGCTTAAATAGCAAAGTTTTGGTCCATACTGGCTCAGTAAGTGGCCGTTGACAGACTGTTTGCTGCCACAGGGGTTTAGCATAAGTATATGTGGTTATTCGAGAGTGCTTAGCATATGTGCTAGTTATTACTTATCATTCTGACTCTTAGGCAAGAATACATAATTTTAGTTGCCTATTTATAACTTTATATGCCCTAGTGTCAACTCACTTGATTTCCAAATGCACAACATCACTTGGTATACTGTTTCTCTTGTAGACTATTCTGCCAGTTATTCATATGTATTTTTCAGGTGAAACATTCATGGAGACACAGAATCGTATCTTGAGAGAAAGAGAACTCAAAATTAGGAATGCCCTCGAGAAACTAAGAAGAAAAAGATCTTTACTTAGAACTCAGCGCAGAAAACGAGAGTTTCCGATTATCTCAGTAATGGGCTATACTAATTGTGGTAAGCAAAAATTCATGAAATTGTAACACAAAAGAGCTTACATTGTCTAATTTTTAATTAGAAATTCTAGCCAGAATCTCATTTCAATTTGAATAGCCTTCATATTTTAATTAGTTTTTAAATTGTGTAATGAATATATGTCAATTAGGATACAGTTAGGAAAGCAAATTATGCTTGTTGTAGTGAGACATTCCACGCCCCGCCCCCCCCGCCCCCCCCCGCGCCAAGTCTTGAAGACAGGTTTTGGAGAAATGCCTAGCCTGTATTGTGCCAAAAAGATTTCACATGTAGTGCTGAAGACTGTACTGTTGGTGTCTGAGTCTCTTCACTTGATCAGAATCGGTAGAGAAAAGTCCATAGGTGTTTAGATCACTGTGAAGGCTTGAGGCATAGGAGTGTTCAGGAGAGTTGGCAGTTGAGCTGAGAAATGTGTTAAAGAAGAACTGTAGCTTTTCATTGATTGATGTATAGTGTTCTGAGATGTGTTTATAAGAGAATCTAAATGAAGCTAAGGGTTGGGGTTTTTTTTTATAGCTTATACAAGTGAATTCATATACAAGGCATAAATAGACTTTGAACTAGACACTTTTTTCAGGTTACATTATCTTAAAACTGTGTAATTTTTTTATTCAACCTCTTTATAAGAACAAACTTACCCTGCACTAATTTTGTTATCAGCTGTATACTCAAAGATTTGGATTATACTGTATGTTTTTCTTAAATGTCATGCTTCCATACTTCTAAAACTGAAGATTCAACAAAAAATATATATATTACAATTTTGTACACATAATTGAAATAATTTAACTAGGGTATATACTAAGCAGTTCAGCTTAATGACTAAATTCTGTGAAATATTTATTGAGTTAAATAAATGTCTCTAGTATTATGTTCATGAGCAAACACCCAATAAAAGCATAAACCTAATAAGCTACGTATTATTAGTGCTTCTGTTTATTGTTGGATTTAACAAGTAAATATTGAATTGTTTTATTTGACAACAGAAGCACTGAGGAGTGCCTAAGTGTATGCTTCCTAATGCTGTCGTGGCAGTGCTCTTCAGATAGTCTTAGAGGTGAGGGATGTGGGTAGGTTGCTTTGCAGGTCAGTTCAGGCTTTGATTGTTTTGTGATTTCACAGCATAGCTTCCAGGCATGGCCTTAAATCCAATTCCAAGTTACAAAAGTTAGGACTGTCTTTCGATTTCCTAACATCATACGGATAACTAATCATAGGCTAGATTTGTATTAGTGAAATAGGTATGAAAAGATACACTATATCACACAACTCACCTGAGCCTTTCAAAGTAAATTTTTACTTGAAACAAGCCATTAAAATCTTGTCCTTTTTTTTCTTTAATTAGGAAAAACTACCTTGATCAAAGCCTTGACTGGGGAAGCAGGACTTCAACCCAGAGATGAGCTGTTTGCCACTCTTGATATTACAGCGCATGCTGGCTATCTGCCCTCACATATGGCAGTTATTTATGTTGACACCATTGGATTTCTGACTGATCTTCCACATAATCTCGTTGAGTCCTTTTCAGCTACATTAGAAGAAGTGGCTTACTCAGTAAGTAGTTGACTATAAACATTGAGAAATCAAATTAATTTCCTTTCAGATAATCCTCACCCCTTCAAAAAAGGGGAAGTTAATTGGCATGTTCTTCTTAGTGAAGTATCTGGCTGACTATAGTAGTCTCCGAAGATAATGAGGTAAATACCTCACCTTAAGCCAATTTTCTGATACTTGAAATTGTGCAGAACATGTAGATATGAAGAGATTTCAGATGGGGTGTATTTGGAGTATATGTGTCCTTCTCCATGATACATAAGCCAGATAAATCAAATTTTGCTGATTAAATGTTTGAAAACCTAAACAGTGCATCCAAATAAGTTGAGGCTAGCTTTCTTGAGAGTTAAAAATAAAGTAAAGCCTCTGGAATGATCTGGTTTTAACTTAAGGTTTCCTATAGCACTAGAAGTGAGTGATTGTGATGTGATGCAGGCAGCATGTAATAAACAAATGTACTTTTCCAATCATTTTCTTATTAAAGCTAGTTTCGTGTGTTATGGTAAAGTGTAAAGCTGCATACACACAGACATTTAAACGAAAAGCCTGTATCGTCAAAGGTAATGAAATTCAGTGATAGCTAGCTGCCGGAATGCTTCTGAGGATTAGACTTCACCATGTAATAACAGGACTTTGAAAAGCTGGCTGCAACTATCCTGTTTGTCTCTCATTCTGAAGTATTAAACGAAAGGCAAAAAATTTACTTCTCACTAATTTTTAGAAGTTTGAAGCAATATCTTGAGCAAAGTTGACGAAACATTTTGAATACAAATATTGATTTTGGTTGCTTGGTTTTTGTCATAGCAAACATGATCGTGTATGTTCTTGAAACTGGTAACTTTTGTATAAAGCTTTCTAAGTGAAGCACTAGTAATAGTGTCTTGGGAGTTAAGGAAAAGGATAATCTGCATTTTGAATGTAAAAATAGACTTACAAGTTACATGGGGTTTTTTCCCCCACTTTTGAAACAGTTCTTCAGTCATTACTCTTCTAAAACCTTTTTAGAGTTCACTCTTTCTTCTCCAGTATTTTTGAAGCCTTATAGTTACACAGCCTTAGCTTTGAAAAAATGGATCAGTTAGTTACTATTTGAAATCTGAATTCTGTAACTAGCTTGATTGACAGGGTTTGTTTCAGGGTTGTCAGAGGCAATTCGTACTCATGGTGAAGTGAAAGACTAAGCTGCTACAGATTTTCTTCCATCATGGTGCAAAAACCAGTATTGGTTTAATACTGTTCTAATAGTTCATTTTACAGTGTTAACCTGCCAGTGTATTACCTAATGGATAGGGAAGTGTCTTACATGAATTAGCAATGCCAAAAGAGTACAAAATCTCTACAACCTGGTAACTGGTGTGTTTCGTTAAGTAACTGCCCTGTATATTGATGCTTGCTAGGATCTGATAGTTCATGTGAGGGATATTACTCATCCAGAAACCATCCTCCAGAAAGCAACTGTTCTGTCAGTTCTGAAGAATCTTAATCTTCCCAGCCATTTATTGGACTCAATGGTAGAAGTTCATAACAAAGTGGATTTGATAGAAAGGTAAGCAGGAGATGCTACGTGTACTTAAACATTTCTTATGTTCTGGAAGCTTTTTTAATTCTTAGTCTAGAAAAGAGCTCCCACACTTCTGAATACATTTAATAGTGTTTCTCAGTCTTTTACTTATGTAACTATGGTCTCAAAAATAGTTATCTTCTAATTACTAAAGAAATCACTTGAGTCATACAAGAAGTGGCCTCTGTAGGAAGGTGGCAGCATAGACTAACACAGTTAAATTGTGCTTGGAATATGTTCACAACCTAATCTTCATGAGCAGATGTACTAGCAGCTGTTACCTTTAAGGTATAAAGCCACTGAAGAAAATGCTTTAGCCATTTCTGCTCTACATGGACATGGTTTAGAAGAGCTGAAAGAAGAAATAGAGAAGAAAATTTTGACAGCAACAGGGAAGAAGATTCTGACAGTTAACGTCAACTTAGAGGGACCTCAGCTAAGGTAAATAATTTTGAATTGTAAGAAGGACTTGGAGAAATATGAAACTTAGTCTTGCATGTCTTAAAATTTCCAAATCATATTATATTGATTTCAATCTGCATTAAGAATTCCAGGGGTATTTATCAAAGTTTTCTGACCTATTGGGGAAAAATATCCCCATTAGATAGCCTGGAGTCTGCTTCTGAAAGTGCCCTTTATGGAATTCTGTGTGTTAGTACAATAAAACATACTTCCTGAAAGACCATGCCACTGGTCCTGGAGCCAGATTTCTGATGAAAAAACAAATCTGAAAGATTTATGCAAACACTATACCCTATTTTCAAACAGCAAGTGGCAAATGAAAAATTAAGTGAAGCACTTCGTCTTTCAAAGTGTTAAATTACTTGTATTGGAACATGTTGACCGAAATCAAAGATCACATTTTATTTAGTGTGTCATACCTTTAAGATGCTAATATGCTTTTACTTTTACAGTTGGCTGTATAAAGAAGCAACAGTTCAGGAAGTAGAAGTCGTGCCTGAAGATGGCACAGCCAGGGTGAAGGTGATAATCGGCAATTCTGCTTTTGGCAGATACAAAAACCTCTTTCCCAACAGCAAGATTTTTATGCCATAAAACTGCATCCTTTTCTGGGAGAAGAAACTGATCTCATTAAGAGGATGTGAAATGAAGTTAATGACCTGTTAGTCTGGGTGTTGAGGAGTATATTTCTTCCCCAGTTGATGTTTTTGATGCATTGTAGAAATGGACACTGTTTCAGAAAACTTATGTTTGGAAACAGTAAGAGCTTTGATCTTCATTCTGTCAGCAAGTGCAAGGACAACGCTAAATTTTTTTTATGTTAAAACAGTTGTTGGCTATAAGCTGTGGACCTCAAACACATGGAAATCACTGGACAGCACCTCAATTAACCTTCAGAAAAGTACTGAGTTTCTTATATAAATAAAACGTTTTACCCGATTTTTCAGAATAAAGTACTATTTATTCTAGTTAAGGTGTCTCAGATGGTCCTTGGAAAATGAAAGTTAGGGAACAAAATGTTGTTTGCTGTATATAAATAATACAGATAAATATGTGTTCAAGCAGAATGCATGAACCTAAGTAAAATAACTGCCATGTCTTATTGCACTGAAGCAAAAAAAAGTAGATTTGTATATTTAAGCAATAAAGTCAGCTGTGAACATCTTTTATCCATACAATTTTCTTGCCTGCAGTAATTTATCCACAATACCGATTACTGTGTCAGTTCTCAAGAGAAGACACTTAAGGTACAGCAAACCACGGATTTTGTGTGAAATTATTTCTCAAATAAAAAAAAAAAAAAACATCTGATCCATTACTTGAGTTACGAATTACTCCTGGGAACCAATAAAACAATCAGCATCACAGAAGCAGAAGCAAAACTATTCGAGTCCACATTACACAGAGAGATTGAGTTTTATTAGATAGAGTAACAAGCCACTTGAGGGTACAAAAGATAGGCAGAAAAACATTCTGAGTACGTACACCTAACACTTCATGCAGGTAGGGACTCTACAGAAAAAAAATCAAAACTGAGTGACTGCTAAGTATGAAGTAAATAGAGGTAAGAACAAGGATAAAAACCATTTAGAAAGTCGTCTTTATAAATGGAATGTTTAGGTTTTTTTACTCCTACGTATTCTGCAATTGCAAAAGATTGCATGAGGAGGTAGCATCTTAGTCTTTCAGGCTGAGAAGCCTAGGGTGAGTTTAATGTGATGTCAAGTAGCAGTTGATTTAAAACTTCCACAAACACTTACTGCAAACATGAACATCTTGCCAGACATTTGAACTCAGCTTTTGCAGATAAAGTGCACTGAAAAAGTGAGGTATCTTGATGAAGCTGCATAGTGAATTTGATACAAAGCCTGTTTCTGTTTTAGTCCTGATGCTTACCATTTCTCTTACCTTATGATCATCTGTTATTGCACAGTTCATTTAAAAAATTAGAAAAATAGGATTAATATACAATGGCAAACAGCATAAACCCCTTAGGTTTTTTTGCATAAGCAAAAACTACTTATTGAGAGGAAAAACAATTACAGAGCTACTAAAATAGCTAAATAAAAGACCAGGTGCGAAACCCCAAATGAGCATGACAGAAGCCGAGAACCTGTGTTTCTAGAGCAGTCTGAGTTTAGATAAGGAATTTGTTTCATATGTGTTTATTTTCAATGTAAGGCATATTTTGGCAACACCTAATAGAACATATTTCATTACCGCAGACAAAACTGTCTAGGGGACTAGTTTTGGTATCTTTAGCACTGCAGAACTGGCATGAGTGATAAAAACAATGTGGGCAATACACATACCTCATACAAAACATAAAGAATTTTGTGACTACCCTGTTGGTAAAGGGGCTCACAACTGATACTCGGCACACAACAACACTACAGCCTCTTCTAGATCTTCAGTGTTAATGATGTATTGGTGTATATATAAAAAAATCATATCAAATAGGATTGTCAATACAATATCTTTGATTTATCAAAAATATTTTTAAGCTGTTCCTTTTGTATATTTAACACAAACTATGAAAACAGAAATAAAGATTGAGAATTGGGGTTGCAAGTAGTGCAGAATATCTTTACAATTATAACAAAGATAAAATCTACCACAAAATTCATGCAGCTACTGACTTACTTCTCCTTCTTGCTCACATGTAAAATAAAATCAGATTAAGTTTTGGGGACTTTCAATATTGCCAAGTGCTACAGAATCTAAGCATCTCCAAGTAAATCATACCTATACCATAGTTCCCTGGAGACCTCAGCAAGGTCTGCCTGCTCTCTTTTCTATATAAAGGCCTTGAAACCCTGATGCTGTTGAGAGTACTTTTCTTACTGAGTCTTTACAACATCCCTAGTTTAAGCTGGCTGGACCTTTATGGGATCCAGGATGTTTAAACCAGGAGACATTAAATGCAGACAAAGCCTTTTCATCTTTTCATAGATTAAGCAGCTGAGAATGAAATGTTGTTTGTTCCAGCCCCTTTACTTTGACAGTGTAATGGAGGATTAATTTTTGTGTTAAGTTCTATTACATCTTTGACAAAATCGTCGTTTCCTATAAAGTCTCCAGCAATGATGTTAATGCATTCTTTTTTTGGTCCTGGATACTGCTGCTTTATCCACATTTTCAAGCATGGAAGACTCTGGAGTGTCATTTTCTTCAATGATCCAAATGGGTGTATGAGAATATACCTTAAATTTTCAGTAAGGTTAATCCCTGCTACAAAGAATTTTTCTGAAACAAAAATCAGAAGGTGACACATTAAATACCCCTTTGAGGAGAACAGAAACTGCTCAGCATTGCATTAACTCCAGATCTTCTTCCTCTGGGAATCGTTAAAATACTAACTTCACACTCTCTGTATTGTTTTGTATCCCTAGAACTGGTTCAGTAGACTCTCTCTCCTTGTTGCAACTGCATGCTGTAGTAAACAGTTACTGAACCAAGCTCAGTTATTGAACCATTCCAGTTTAGCTAAATTTATCCAAATTATTCATTGCAGACAAAAGGTCCTTCACTAACTAGTCCGCCTTTGTAAATTTTGGTTGTTTCTGTAAAGATTGCTTCCAAATGCTTAGCCTTCCCTGGTGACGGACGGGAACAGAGGGTGCACCTACACGAGCGTTTCCCTTTGGCTGGGCAGTGTACTTTTGAAGCAGTTCTTCCCTTCGTCATCCCATGTGTTCACATCACAGCACTGCGTCAAGAGGTTACAAACTGAATTTCTCCCACCTTAGACTACACCAACACGCCTGAGCGCTGCTATTTCCTGATGCAGCGACAGCCTCACGCACCGTTCTGGTAGGGGTTTCTTGTCACAACAAGGCTAGCGTAATGCATTTCCCTCATCATCAGCGCTGCCTAAAGCAGTAAGCAGCGCATTGAGGAAGCTGTGTCCTAGCCATGAGGAGTATGACAGTGCCAGCGAGCTTGTGTGTGCCGAGGGCTTCTTTTCCATGGGATCACACAGGTGCTGCGATGTATATGGTCTATGCATGTACATACACTGACTCATGTATTTGCTCCCCCAAAGAGGAACGTTGCACTCATGGGTGGACAGAGCACTCAGCAACACGGGCACGTCTCGTGCACACAAAACGCACAAAGCGGTGATATCCCGTAATGTTATAATCGCCCAACTGCCCATTTGTTTTGCATTGCTGTACGTGCCCCTTGTTTCCTCCCAGCGACCCCCTGTGCCTACCTGGACGGCCCATCCGCTTCATGCGCTCTAAATACTGGATAAGAGCGCTAGTGGCAGTTTGGTTTCCCCACCAGTACGGGATCGCAGGCCACAGCTCACAATGCTCCTCCACTTTCACGTCCTCTTCGTACGAGACAATGACCTGGTGGCCACGCTGCCACATGGTCCGCAGTGTCGGCATCACCTAACAGAAAGCATGCTCAGGTTGAAGTCAACAACACAGCAGTGGTCCTAAAGTTCAAATACTGGCATGTGGCATCACCTTGGTAGAGAGGCACTGATTCACTTCAAATAAAGCTTTTAAACGTACAGCCCAGTAGGTCGTTGGCTGGGTTACAAGCTGCAGGGGCAACAGGAGCCAGGGAACTTCAGCAGATTCCTCCTTTCCTCAAACAATTCAATTATGGTAAAGTACATAATAACTCAAGGTCTTACATGCATGTAAGAAGCAACCATCCCTGTGTCAGCCCTCGTGCACATGCTGCTGCTGAAAAGTTGTTGGGAAGACACAGGCCATTTGGCGAAAGGAGGGAGGAGGGGGGCAAAGCCCTACACCCAGCTGTAGGAATACAGACTCAGAGAAACAGGAATAATTTTGGCAAATGCCCCACATTGATCCAAATTTGTTGCTGTACCCATCAAAGAAAACTGAACGGCTTGACCTAGTAAGACTAAATATAAGTCTTCAAGAGAGATGTTAATTCTGATTTCTCTAAGTGGAAAGTTTCTGAAATTGCGACGCTCCAAACATTTTCAATGGAGAGAGGGGAAGACTTGAGTCAGAAACCTTCTCAGACAGAAAGGTGGGCTGAAACACGTCTGTTTTAAATTTAAGTGTATGAAATGACATTGTCCAATACTCAAAAGTTACTATCCGACAGAATTGAGGCCCTCTGACTAGTTTTATTTGCAAAATCAACATATTTAACAGCTATAGTTTTTTTAAGAATGTTGTGGTTAAAAGCTGTGTCTGTTGCTTGTGAAAAGGAAATGGTAGCTTTTTGATGTTCCAATTAACTTACTTATTAATTAAAAAGAAAGCCAAAGGCAGTTGAAAATGTTTTATGTAAATCTTTGAAGAGAGCCAAGGGTTGGCAAGGGTTGAATGAACATGGGAATCCCTCTTACTTCATCCGAGAGAGAGAGAGAGTGCAAGCCCCAATTAGGTCAGAAAATACTGCAAAAGTAAGACACAAGCTATGCAAACTACAAAAATCTGTGGTTGACAGAAGCTTTTACTTTACTCCAGCTGCCTTTCTAAAGCTGGAATCTCTTAAAAAAAAAAAAGAAAAGTGGGATAAGAGCCCAAAAAAGAAAACCTACCAGAAATGTGTATGTGAGCACAGCTGCTTATTTTGCAAACAAAGCAGAAATGAAACAGTAGATGTCTAACAAGGGATTTTTAAACCCTAGTAATCCAGACCAAAGGAAGACACCTTGAATAGTTAAGGCAATTAAAATTTTAAACGCAATGTAATGTTGTCACGCTGTGGCCTGTTCTAGTACTACATACAGACCTCTACTTAGCAGTTGCTTCATAAATACTGTGACATTTACTTTTGCACGAAAACAGAGTTTAGTCTTGAAAGACAGTAGATACCAGAT